AACTTCAACCTAACCAATGACCACCTCTCTGCCGACTTTGATTTTGTCATAAGATCCTACAATCCCAACAAGAGAGTTTCCATATACTATGACTCCATTCATGCCACTGTGAACTACAATGACCAGACAGTGGCATTTTCTGGGGTTGATCCCTTCTACCAGCGCCATCGAAACGTGACCCGATTCGACGTCAAGTTCACAGCTCATTCCACTGCACTGCCCAGCTCTGTCTCTAACGATCTACAGCTTGAGAAAAGATCAGGCAAGATCCAGTTTGATGTTTGGCTCAAGGCAAGGATTAGGTTTAAGGTTGGAGCTTGGAAATCGCGCCATCGCACATTAAGGGTTTCATGTGCCCCAGTGTTGGAGTTTTCAAGGCCTAAGAACTTGAAGAGGACTTACTGTTATACAGAAATTTGATCAACCCTCTCTCTGCAACTGCATGCGTATTTCAATGACTGAATTTTTCTCTGTTGTTTGGGAGTTTTTATTTTATTTTAAATACCATGTTTTTTAGTCTCTCTGTTACAACTTACATTGTTTTCTTCATATAATCCTGGACTTTATATGTGTGTGGTCATTGTTGTTGTGTTTTATTTTGTGTTGAACTTTTCATTTTTCATGTAATTGTGATATTTATTCATTTATTTATTGTGTAACGAAATCCATATGGATTGATCAGATATGCTTCAAGGTTTTTTATTTTAAGTTTTACTTTATGGGCTTTGGTACGAAATAGCAAATATGTGGGCTTCTTTTTTCTTTTTTGTCACCAATTTCATTTTTTCTTTTTTCGAGCAATTTTTTCACCAGTTTCTTGACACTTTGACTCCGAAATTCCAACAGTTTAGAAATAATTAAAGACCCAGCAACAATTTTATTAATGAATATTGTCACGTATCAATTGCAAGTGAAGTGTGATGCCCTAATGTTCTATTCAGTATCAAGTTTCAGAACGAATTTGAACAAGTCACCATATATAAAAGGAGCTGGACTGTCTTAATTTGGATGAAGTAAAATTATAACACGGAAATTGTATCTTTGCTCAAGCTGGTGGTCATGCACTCAAGGCTGGTGGTCATGTACTCAAGGTGTTCGACAGAATGTCTTAGCCAAACTATGTTTGTGCAGCCAGCAGTCAGCAGTGCAGCGTTTTGAGCCAGGGCGAAAAAGAAAGGAGGAAACCGGATTCATGGGCTTTCAAAAGGCTTTCATTTTGTGGGCTTTAAACAAGGATTTTTTTTTCTTGAAACAGTTCTGTCCCTGGGTTTTAAACAACAACTCTTACTCTTTAAACAAGGCAAGCATTTCGTGGGCTTTTTCTTCTTCTTTTCTTTGTTTGATGTTTTCATGATATAAAACATCATCGCCAACAATTGTAGGTTAATTGTAATGCTATATTTTTTATATGACTTATGAATGACATTGGTATTGTTTAAATTATAAGCATTTTTGGTTGTCATTTTTTTTATATAAAGCTTTTACCCTTTCAAAATTGCACCTCCTTTAAAAACTTCATGGGTCTGCCAGTATACACAAAGAATCTTCTAAATGTAAAGACTCGAGATCCAAAAATATTTTTTATTTATAAATTTAAACAAATATAACTAAAGTACAGATTAAATTGCAAGGAACATAAGAATAAACAATTAAACTTTTATCGTTAAAGTGGAGTAAAGAGTAATGGAAAAATAGTGAAAGCTTACAAATGTCTCGAATTCACTAAAATGTTGGTTGAGAAAAGCTTGCCTCACCGAAATTTATATACCTGGCTTTCTGTTTGGTGGGAGTAAGAAGTTTGGGTGTATGAGAATTCTCTGTCAATTTTATTCATTAGGTGTGAAATGTGAAGGAAGGTCAACATATGAAATGGTGGAAATCAAGCTTCCACATTATTTTTTTTCTTCTTTAGGCCAAGTTTTTTGGTTGGCTAGAACAACTCTAATTAGCTGATATGGTGCTGACGTGGTACATTTGAACTAATGACAGGTTGTAGAGTTAATTGGGACGACATCTTGTATTAGTATGTTAAGCTATAATTATTGCCCTAGTGGTCAAGTCTCTATCGTATAAAAGGCTAACAATTACAACAGCCTCAATTGTAATTATCATTTCTTTGGCATGTTTACCAACTTGGAATCGGAGGATTGTCGATCACTCATGATTAGCAGCAATCATAATACTGTGCTGTGAAAATAATCATTGTCAGATTTGCTAGATTTGCTGTGAGAGAAAACAGTTTGGCGTTTGGTAAACTTTTTGTTAAAAGTGTTGTTGGTATTAATTCCCGTATAATCAGAAAATGATTCCCGCATAATCAGAAAATGAAAGCACCTCATTAGCTGCTTTCTCTCACAGCAATTTTTAACAATAAGTGATTTTCTCATAGTTTACCAAAAGGGTTGGGCATCCCAAATTTTTTTTAAAATCACTTATCACCCAAATAAGCAATGTCAAATGGGTACTTAATATGATTTGGAGTTGACTGATCAGTTTGGCATTGTTGTGCTGTAACAATAATCGTTATCAGATTTGCTGTGAGAGAAATCAGCTATAAGAGAAAGCAGTTTGGCGTTTGATAAAATTTTTGTTAAAAGTGTTGTTGGCATTAATTTCCGCAAAATCAGAAAATGATTGCCGCATAATCATTAAACCCAACGCCTCTTCGAAACTGCATAATCAGAAAATGAAAGCACCTCATTAGCTGCTTTCTCTTATAGCTTTCTCTCACAGCAATTTTTAACAATAAGTGATTTTCTCATAGTTTACCAAAAGGGTTGGGCATCCCAAATTTTTTTAAAAATCACTTATCACCCAAATAAGCAATGTCAAATGGGTACTTAATATGATTTGGAGTTGACTGAGATTACTAATTCCTTGGTCCCGTGATATTTCTTTTTCCAATATTGAAATACGGTTGATCATAAAGAATAAAAAGAAAACTTTAAACTAAGCATATTTATTTTATATGTGAGAAGTGAGTGAGTGAGCGGCAGAAGAACGTGAATGCTCACGCAATCTAGGACCCATGCATCATGCATGCAAGCAAAACAAGATGTAGCAAAAGCTGTGGGGGTTGGCCTCAAAGTTCAGGTTGCCGGGGCCATATATTAGCTCTTGCAAGCAGATTACATGTGGATTTCATAATGCCTCCCTACTTTTTTTTAATTAATCACAATGTCTACTACTTCAAAGACATAATATGATATTATGTGACCTAAAAGGGGGTTTTTTTCTTTTCCAATTATAAAATTTAGAATATTCATTTATAACCTAAGAGAAAAATCAAGAATATTCATTATATATATATATATTTGGGATAATATAAACATAATTTTTTTTTTCTTTTTTGATAGAGGGACCATGTCATTATGGTCATGCGTTATGATTATTCATAAATAAAGTCATGTTTGTGTTGAAAATAAAATTTTAAAATGGAGCTTTTATATAAAATGATACAATAACTTCTTTCCAAGTGATTAGACGCTCTACATCAAATATAATTGGTCGTTTTTTTAGTAGAAGCGATAGTCTAAACAATAGAAGAGAGAATTTCTCACACATACTCATACAACTAAGATGTTATAGGATTCGAACTTGAGACCTTTTGTCATATTAATATAATATAAAAGTTCCACCCAAGTTTTCTTGAAGACGATCGATGACCCATTTTGGCCACGTTGTGATTACTCAATTTCATCAAAATTTGGTTGGAGGTTTGAGCTAACCCTAATAATGATTCATTCATTTATTATATTTATAAACCAGTGTCAGCGACGTAGTTGGCAACAGTCAAGTCAACACTATATATATATTTTAATGGATTTTTAGTCTGATAAATTTTCTTTTGGTCGGAATAATTTGATAGACGACCAACACTCAACAGGCAAACAGGCAACAGCCTTTCTCTAATGTGTTAATTAACAGCCTAAAAGGAGTCACTAATTATTGCAATCTCTTTTTGTTATATACTAATCAAGAACGCTTATGTGTACTTGGGCAATTCCATACATCTTAAATATATAAAAAGATTATTTATATCAGAACCAATCATTGTCGAGCTTGTCAGCTTGAGCAAGCATGATGAGGAAGAGAAGGGTAGTTGAAAAGGGATTTGAATTCAATGAAGCCTTCAATTGCTTTAGGACTAAGAAGACGCAATCTATCTAATTACCCAAAAACCAATAAGAAAAAAGAAGACTCAATCTATCTATATAATGAATTCAATACTTTACGTTTTGAGTAAATGTTACAGACACTAACGTATTACACCAACTAATGTGATAATGTTTTATTTGTTTTCTTCCGGAGTTCATTGTTGACTTCATTTATTCACAGCAAATAAGACATTACGATAATACGAACTAGCTAATAAATTATTGAATAACCTTATTTAGTCACCATATATCTTTCATAAAGGTAAGATTTTGAATTCTATAGAAGATGTAATAAACAATGCAGTGTTGGTAAAGAAACTGTCACTAAATAAACTTCACTGTCATGGTCATATATTTTGAGCTCATCCTCCATATCTATTGGTTGCCACATCTTTATCATGCAATATTATAAAACATCTACAATGATATTATATTATAGAAAAAAATACTATATTTTATTATTTGAATATAATATTATTCAATTTCCTACAAATTAATGTATGGTGAAAAATGTGTCGTGCCATACAACATCTCCATCCAAATGGAAGCAAACAGAACACATAACCAATAATTAAATGATAATTTCTTTTTCTTTTTTTAGCCAAAACACAACACTGAGATCCTTACAAAAGGAAGCTTGCTAAACGGCGCCGCATCACAAAAGGAGTGAAACCCGAAACGGCGCCGTTATTATCTCTCAAGCTTGTTCCCCACTTCCCGTTAAATTTAAGATTTGGAAGGTTTCGTAAAATGACCGGTACAAACAGACAGGTGACACGTGACAGCTCCTGGCGGGCTCCCCCAAAATTTAAGACGTTTGCGTTACGGCAATATTTATGGGGGAAGACTCTCAACGGTGACGTGTTTCCATTTATTCTTCGTGAAATCGCCGCTCTTCCCTCTCTCTCTCTTTGAAACTTCCATTTTCTCTCTCCTTCTCTCTTACTCTTTCTCTGTCTCACTGTTGCTTTCTACACAGCTAGGGTTTCGTTTCCTTTACTCCCAAATCAAGAGGCAGAGAGCTTCACCGGTACGTTTTTTTAATCTTCGCTTTTTAAATTGATCAATAACATCGCGGTTCATGTTCTGTTCGGTCATTTATCGTTTTTATCTTGAGTGATTTGCAATGTCGATTTGAAATTTGATTGAATCTTCATTTACTGGTTGTTTGGTTTCCGGGAAAGGTAGGGAAAATGATGGAAAATAAACCTTTGAATCTCCGGTTATGGTTGTTAGGTGTGGGAAGTCCAAGGTTGACTAAGTCTGAATGTGCTGTTGGGATGTTTGTGTCTCTGAGGGATAGGGGATTCTGCGCCTTAGTTTCTTGTCATTTTGTAAAATTTCTCAGAGACCAAACAGAGGCATTGAGGAGTTGAATAGATTTTTGACTCCGGTGGTTTCGGAGTTTTGGACTTTAGCAAGATTGTTTGTTTGTTCAATTTCTGCTTTTTTACGTCTAAGGTATTTAATTGGAATTTTATTTTATGTAAATGGTTTATCCTTCTACAACTTCGACTTCGTAATGAGTTAAAGCTTTAAAAGGAAAAATATGTTGATTTTTGTTTCTTATCCTTTTCTGACATGCAGCGACAAGTGAAGAAAGCAATCTCGTCATGGTGAAATTTTTATGGGGTTGGATGATTTAATGCTGGTTAGATTGGATGAGTATGTTTATCATCTTCATGTGGCCATGATGACAGGGATGATAGTTATGACCTTGGCTAATTTCGTCTAAGTTTGATGATCTGATTTTTGAAAGAATCACCTTGTTGTAATTCCTGTAAAGAAATGCGGTTTTAATATGCATTTTATACAGATGAGTTTAAGGTCTAATTATTAGTTTGAATCTTGTACAATGGCTATTGCTGGTCTACACAATGTTTCTGTGCTTGAGCCTTCTATCCTTCGAGACTCTCAGTCTCACGCATCTAGACGGATAGGTAATGAAGGGAGGGTAAACACCCGCCCGTCCTCCCTACTACAAATGTGGCGAGAGCTTGAGGATGAGCATGTGGTGAGTCGTGCCCAAGAGAGAATCAGTGAAAGGCTGCTTCAACAAAGAAGTGATAGGTTGATAGATGACATCTCAAGAGCAGATGCTGCTGAAGGCCACGGTAGTGAACACACAGGTGATTTAGAGGATGAGAGTGTGGCGGAGAGTGAGTGCAGATTATGGTCTCAAGGTCAAATTGGGTCATCCAATGAACATGAGAACTGTAGCAATTTTAGCAGTGAGCATTCTGATTTTGGGGAGGTTGAAAGGGGGAGGGTGAGGCAAGTTTTCAGGGAATGGATGAATTGTGGTGTGGCTGAATGTACTTCAAGTGTTTCTAATATGAGTAACAGTTCAAGGGCAGAATGGCTTGGTGAAACTGAACAGGAGAGGGTCAGAATTGTAAGGGAGTGGGTGCAAATTAACAGCCAGCAGAGAGGTGCTTCTGGTGACAATAATGGAGAACAGCCTGCTGAAATTGGTAATCAAATTGAACGAGTTCGTGATGGATTGGTTGTTAACCAAACTGAAGGCCGGTCTGAGCTCACGCGAAGGGGCATTCGCAAGTTATGCGGTAGACAGGCTGTGCTGGATATGTTAAAGAAGGCTGAGAGGGAAAGGCAAAGAGAACTTCAAGAATTGTTGGAGCACCAGGCCGTATCACATTTTGCTCACCGCAATCGCATTCAGGTTCATTGTTATCATGCTTTCCACATCTTCAGTTACTTATCATAGAATTACTCTTTGAAAATGGGTTTTGAGTTTGTTATACTTGAGCGTACAATCTCATTTTGGTGAAATTTTTTATGTACGATATTCGATAGTCATTGGATAATGTGAATACCCATACAGACATCCTTAGCGACAAGAAATCAATATGCTAGTATCATGTTCTAGAAGTGTAATGATGCTTTTGTTATGCCTGTGCATTTCTACTGGTTTCTAGGCATGGAAAACTGTTCTTGTTACTAATATGTCAACATGTTTTTTCTTTTTTTGCTTTTCTCTCGCAGTCATTGCTCAGAGGAAGATTCTTACGAAATGTTAGAGTGATTGAGAATGAGAGACCGACTTCCATGGCTGAAAATGAACTAGGCTTATTGAGGCAAAGACACACAGTCTCTGGTCTAAGGTAATATTTTCCATGCTTTAATTAATAAGAATGATATGTTTAATTTTCTTTGCAAAGCTTTTATGCTCTAATGTGTTTTCTTAAATATTGTGTGATCTTCCATTTTATATACACCTGAGATGTCTTTGTAAGTTTTACGCAATGAATAGGTGGAATTGCATCATCTCGTAATGATGAATTAACCCATCCTTGTGATCCTCTTTTGTTTTCTGTATAATTTGTGTCATCTTTACATTTATTGAAGTAAAAATGATTTGGGACACCTCAAGTCTAAGTTTTCTAATCATTCTTCTACCAAGAGTTGTTGATGCACGATTTTTGATAATCATTGAATTTAGCCAAAAAGTGATATACAAAAATGGTATGCAGCAAACCCATTCTTCCAGCCCCTTTCTAATCGTGAAAGCGTTTTTGGTATAATGTGTGAGTTTATGGGGCTTGAAGGGTGGTCTACCATAGAAAGATGATTAAGTCTAAATTACAATGGGCAGATTGTAAATTTTATATTTTGATTGTTGGAAAGATGACAAACTATAGCTATTAGCTTGTGCTGGTGAGTTTGGTCGATAGTTAAACAAACGGATTAATTCCTTGGTACAATTTTAAGTAGTGGGGTTGTCAGGATGTAGTTATTTGTGTTTCCTTTCTTGATTACTAGTTTTGTAGAATTTGAAGTGTTAGAACAAGATATAAATCACTTTTGACATGGTGAAATTGAGTTTGAGTTCTTTTTGAAAACCTCTATCACCGTTTCACTATGATGTTGCCCTGCAATGGACCCTCATGGTGCTGTTTCTGACTGGTTGGAAAAAATTACGGTTCATGGACTTTGTTTTATGTAATTTTTTGCTTTTGATGCTACACTCATGTTCATGTATATATGCATATAGACTTTCACCTTTAGAGCATCTTAATCTTCTATATTATTATCAATTATAGATTGTGGTCACGTAAATCCATTAACTTTTTTCTTCTTTTATTCTTGAAGCTGTCTGGATTATTTCATTGACTAATACTGAATTAATTTCTTCATTAATTTTTTGTCTCTTATATAGAAAAATGCTTTTATTTATTTTCTCATTGATATTTGGGCATCTATTCTTTGGAGTAGGGAAGGTTTTTGCTCCAGATTGGATAATACTGCATGTGGTCAAGTAAGCAGCAGCCATTCTGAGACATCTTCAAGTGTGTCTTGTGGTAGTAGAAATGGACATGCTGAAGAAGACAATTTACATGAGGTACATAGTTTTTTCGAACAATCTGACGCTAATGAAGAGGCAAGTGATCACAGAGGACATGATAGATGTGGAATGTCAAATGGTAGGGGTGATTTAGGTGGCAACACCATTCTGGATATAGATTCACAAGAATCTAATGTTCCTGCGGAAGGTTGGCAGGAAGAAGTTCCAGATAATGTTGTAAGAGACGGGCATTGCTCAACCATTTTTGACTTTGTCGAAAGGAGTGAGGGTACTTGTAGTAATATGATTGGGAACTTACAGGCAACCGCTGCTGTTGAGCAGCCCCTAGAAACTTCGCAAAATGATGCTGGTGAACACAGTAACATGAGAGAAGTCATTGATGTATCTAATGAATCTGAGCCAAGTAGGGAGGAAAGTGTAATCTGTGAACAATCTGGTGATACATATAATTTACAAGGCAACATGGTTGGGGATGTAAATTTTCAATGGGATGTAAATTTTCAAGAATTTACTTCTCAGGTACAACAATGGCAGGATCGAGTTTCAGAAAATGAGGAAGGAGACTGGGAAGAGCCTGTTGCTGAGTTTAATGATTTGAGAGAAAATGTTGGTCGAATTACAGTTGGAGATCAGCAGGAAACTGCTGGTTATGAATGGTCCCAAGAGTTGTTGGAGGGCGAGGATAGAGAAAACAGTCATCTTGAAGAAGTTAGTGAAGTGTGGCACGAGGAAAGTGGTTTTCAGGAGGCTGTTCACAATTGGTTAGAAGAGCCATCTGACCAGGATGCTGATCCAGTCAGACAGATCGATACCTTTTATTTTCCTGATGACGATAATGCTCATAGTACAGAGATAAGGGAACTCCTAAGCAGGTATTAAATTTATTAATTCATGAATATGCTTTGGGCTTCTGAAGGATCAGTTTTTCTCATGGAAATCTTATTAATGTTGCAGGAGAAGGGTTTCTAATCTTCTTAGTAGTGGTTTCCGACAAAATCTAGATCGACTTATACAATCATATGTGGAAAGACAAGGCCATGCTACCATTGACTGGGAGCTAGATGATACATCACCTTCTCCTGAATCTGCAGAACAGGACCTAGAGCAAACTGGTGGATATCAAAATGAGGGTCAAGTGGATTCTGTTGAGAGTCCTAGTCCTAGTACTGTGCTGCCATCACAGCAAATACCTCCCTCACCACTTTGGGACCAGGAGTCACACCCTGATAATTGGCCACAGCATGACATGCATCAACGTTTTGGAATTGTAAGTTCACATAATTTTTCTTGCATCTTGCGTTCACATAATTTGATATCAAGTCACTTATATTCTTGACGCCTACCTTTTGGCCTAGTCAATGTACAATTTGCTTACTGATACAGGACTGGGAGATAATTAACGATATGAGGATTGACATGGGTAGGCTACAACAGAGGATGAATAACTTGCAAAGGATGTTAGAAGCCTGCATGGATATGCAACTCGAGTTGCAGCGCTCAATAAGACAAGAAGTTTCTGATGCCCTGAATAGATCATCTGGTTCACAAGGTCTGTCAATAGTTTTGATGCACTTAAGCATATTTTACGTAGTTGTTTTTTATGGTGAACTTTTACTCTACATTGACCACCTCTAGGATAGCTTTTCTAACTCTGATTGGATAGTTGCAATGAAATTATTTCTGATTGGTTTTTCTATCAATGGTGTTGGTTCTGCTTTAATGTATTGGAACTCCATCAGTTTGTTCCCAGCCCACCGTATACAACACGTTACGTTTCATTTAAGAAGAAGATTGACGTTTACTTATGGGCCTATGCTGCCCTCCCAAATCTTGGGCTAGGCTTGTAATGTGCCATTTTTGCAATGAAAACATCATTTGACCAAAAACATTCAAAAGATAAAATCCCAACCTTTATGACTTAACCACGAAATTAGATTTTCTAAACCCTAATCCTCTCCTTTTAAAACTTTGCAAAGATGATACTAGTTGTTTGTGTTTCCTCTCCTTATAAAACTTTGCTCCCATCTCCTGCTGTGGATCCCTTGTCATTTCGCCTTATTTGGTTGTTGGTTTTGTGAACGATTCTCTAAAACTTAGGTCCATTGCTTGCTTTCCTTAAGTTGACTGTGAGAGGTGTCTGCTTCTGCAGGGTTGTGTGAAGATGGTCTTCTAGAAGATGGCTCTAAATGGGATCATGTAAGGAAAGGAATTTGCTGTATATGTTGTGATAGAAGTATTGATTCTTTACTGTACAGGTAAAACTCCAAAATGAGCACCTTTGTGATTCGAATTGTCGGATATGTGGAGATTCTAACATCGTTTTTCAATTTCTGTTCATTTCGTCTTGCAGATGTGGGCACATGTGTGCATGTTCAAAATGTGCTACCGAATTGGTTGAGAGTAGCGGAAAGTGTCCGATGTGTAGAGCACCCGCAGTTGAGGTGATCCGTGCTTATTCTGTACTGTAACTTGAACACTAAGTTACTAAGTTAAAGTTAACATTTATATATAGGCATCATAGGGTTTTGCTCCAATCTCTTTTTCTGTCTGTTTTTTGTTGCTGCTTAGCTGCCATGATGTCTTACAGATATTGAGTGTACGATTGACACAGAAAATGCTCTCTTTGATTCATTATTCTGATCTAATAAAATAGAATGGAAAGCTAATATACCATAAATTCAGTATCCAATTAGGTTATAGCTGAGGTTTGCCTCTTGACCCCGCCCA